GGGTTGGTTTTGGTAGGTGGAACCATGGACACCAAAATTCCTGCGGTTTGCCAGCCCCTCCGATCGCTTCATTTTGGGCCCAAGGCGTTCAACCGGGGCCAAACCGCGTCCCGCGAGTCTCCTGGAAGTTGCTGGTGAAGGAGTCCACCACCAAGTAGCCCAGCCTGGAACCAAACTCCGAGACTCAGTGGTTCAGTGACCCTGGGAAAAGAAAGGGAACCCTTTCTGGGGAAGACCATTTTTAGTGGGGCAGCCACCAAAAAAAAAGGGAAAAAGGGGGCCACTGAACAACTGAGGAAGGTCCCCCCAAATCCGCCCCATTTCCAGGGATATAATACCGAAAGCCGGAAAGATACCGAAAGGTCTCCCCAAATCTCCGGAATGAGTTGGGATTCACCTGGGTCCCCGAATTCGCACCCAGGAGCCGACGAAAATCTGTGTTTCTACCAAAAAAATGAACTATGAGTTTCGAGGTACCTCCCATGTCCATTCTGAACCAAGGGATCCTTCTTTCCAGACCTCCGGAAACCCCTAGGGAAAACGTTTTTGATTTTTTGGAAACGATGGTTGAAAAGAATGGTTGGAATCAACCCCTAGAGAGTTGAGGATTCACCTGGGTCCCAAATCCGCACCCAAAAGGACCCAAGACCCACGAATTGTTGTTTCTACGCCACTCCAAATGAATTGAGCGGCATCATCCCGATGCCCACGATGGAGGTTTCTCTCTGGAGATCGCCGTGAAGGCCGTTGATCTGGAAGTCCCAGACAAAGAAGGCCACCAAACCTCAGCCGCGTGCGAGGCCCGAGGCCCCTCCCGGTGGTTGCTGGGGTGGCATTACTTTCGGTCCTCCCAAAGGATTGCACAGGCAAAACCGGGACACTGTACAGCCGTTGATGTGATTTGTGCCCATGTATGGTTTTGTAGTGCATTTGACAGCGCCCACATTTCAGTACAAGTGCAGTACCCGAAGTTCGCTTTGGCAGCCCCTCGGACAACTCAAGACCCTCAAGGCGAAGCCAGCGTCTTCCAAACCTCGAAGCAATGCGCTACTTTAAAACAAATCCAGTGGCTGCAAGCTGCATCGCGGATCACTCCCCCAATCATCCTCACCATTGCCAGCTCAAACCCAAGACCACGGAACCCCCACAAAGATAATCTTCCCCGAACAGAATTGTTGCTAGACGGATTTACCAGGAGGATCGTGAGCTGTGAGCTGTCGATGATCTTGGGTTCTCTGGGCTGTGGGTGCGATGTTCTTGTCTCTCATGTCTTGTTGTCTGGGCTGTGGGTGCTGCGGCGAGGTGCGCTATTCCGGGTGTGCAGGCTTTAGAGGTACGCCTCGGTCTCGGGGTGTCCGGCATGGAAAACAGACATACGGTTCCAACCCGGTGGAAAAAGAGATCCCCAAAAAGCCGTTCTTGGGCTTCAGGAGCAGAACTCCCTAGAAAAAATGGGAACCCTTTCTGCGGAAGACCATTTTTAGTGGGGCAGCCACCAGAAAAAAGGGGGGAAAAAGGGTACCACTGAACAACTGAGAGAAGTGAAAAAGGGGTTCCCCAAACATCGGCGCATAAGGCCCAGGCAGGTGAGTAGAAGCCCCTCTGCGTAATCCAGGCCGCTGTAGATACGGTTCCGCAAGACGCTCCTCGATATGGCTTGGCAACCCCTGATTTCGCGCTATGCCCCCCACATGTCACTGTACGCACTAAGGAGGACCCCTTGTTGACACGGATGAGACGATTGCGTTGCTCTGCGAAAGCTCATCTTCCGCACAGAAAATGCCTCATGCTTTCTGGGCCGCTTTGTGGGATCTGGTCTTTCCGCCAATGCTTAAGGGGGGGAGTTCCTTGGGTTTGTGGTTTTCGGAGGGTACCTTTTGCATGGTCAAAGGGAAACCAAGAGTAAGACCACCGCTTTGGGGTACCCCCAAAAAAGACACACAAAATCAATGCATCCATCCTACCACAGCCTGGTCCGAGTCCCTATTTTGACACATTGAGAGACAAAGCAAACGAGACTGACCCAGCGAACGAATGGGTTGCAGCATGAACCTGACTCCAATTGCAACCAGGGCCCCGAACGGTAGTGGGGAACCTAGAAATGAACTGATTTAGAGGGTGAGCAGAAAAAGGGGATCCTTTTTGAGGATGGCCATTTTTTGTGGGGAGCCCACGAAACAAAAAGGAATTTAGAGGGTGCATGCTATAGGTGACAGTCCATTTGAGACCTGTGGAACCTTCCCAAATGGCATGTCACCGAACGAGGCGTCGGATGTCCGGGCCAAATGCGGGAAAAAGCCAAACAGCCCTGTCCGTCATGCCAAAGGGGCCATACCTCTGGCATAAGACATTCACTTCTCCACTCACAGAAAGTTGCAACAAACCCAACTGCAAACGCGCAGTCCAGGCCAGGTTTCAGATAGTGTTCGCTCGCTCGTGCTGCTGCGAGTTTTTTGGCCAAGGGGCCCATGGCAGGTCGGGGCCATTTCGTGTCAGAACTAGGAACTGCCAATTAAAGGAGGGGAGGTTCACATTTGGCTTCCTGAAGTAAACGGTTTCTTGTTGGCGTCCTGCTGCAAGCCCGAATGGGGTCTCAATCTATGCGTGTCAGGCGAGTGTCCCGACCATCATCACCGGCAGCACTTTCAGCGTCTTCATCCTCACATGGGCACTCAACATGAGGCAAAGACCGGTGGACATCGATCCCCGGGTAAAAAAAGAAGTCCACCACAGGTTCCAAAGAAGATTCTGTCCTTTGGGCATATAGGTACACCTAGGGTCCTTTGGAGCAAATGCGAATCGTTTAGCATGGTAGCAATGTGTGTGTGTGTGTGTGTCAGTTTTGTTGACCCGCAACTCCTAATTGTGCTGTTTGATGACACAAAAAGTAAAATAGGGGGTCAAGTGGTTTTCAAGCCCATGGGGAACACCTCGAACATGATTTTGCATAAGTCCTCAAATGATGTCCAAAGGATTCCAAAGACAAGCACACCCAAATAAACAGGCCAAGGACTTCTGCCAACGAACCTGACCGATGAAGGACTGGCTCCCTGTTTGAAAGGTGCAAATGTTTGCGGGAAATGCCGGCCCTGCAAGCGGTGAATGGGCCAAACACTATCGCCCAAAACGGTATCATACATTTCGAATAGGGCAAATCGGCAGTCGAAGTACTCTGACTGAACTCCGAAGATCGGCTCGGAATACAGCAGCTGTGCACGCAGGGGTACTTAGATGCTGACCTCAGAATCCTGCAACTAGCGAAGTGCGTGCCAATTGGAGTTCAGAGTAAGCCCGCGTTCAAACAGTCAGAAGCTCACAGTGCGGGAACCGTCAAAATGCATTTCAGGTCGCCACAAGTAGCAGGAAAAACACAACTTGTTGGGTCCGCCTATCTTGACATATACCCATTTGTTTCTGAAAGGTGGTCACGAAGTGATCGTGGCCAAGTGGGAGTTTCGCAGAATGGTGGAACCCCTTTGGTTGCTTTTTGAAGGGACCAAAAGGACACCCACCATTTCAGGGGCCCCTTATTTGGATCAAATGATGCTGGTGCTGGAAAAGGACATGGCGTTTCCCGGTGCCTTTCTAGCTCGGGCACTGCCAAAATGGCATGCACCGTCCAAGCAAAGCTGCGCGGGGGACTTGACCACTTCAGGGCGATCCAGGCTTGGCCCTTGGACTTTTGAACCCCAAAAAACAATCAGAAAGGCCTCCTTGCGGAAACCATGGAGACCCTCAAAAGAGGGGGATGCTTCTATTTCGCGAAATGTCACATTTGACCCCTGGCATTCGGTTTGGACATGGGCTTTGCTGAGGGCCCTGGACGAAAAATGGCGCCGTTCCCAGATCGAGGCTCAAAGACTGCGCCGGGAAAAACCTGAGCCGATTCGGAGGGCGAACGGCGTCGCTTGGTTGTTGGCCAAGTTTGACGCAGATGGGGTGGTTGTTGCTAAGGAATATTACATCACCACGCAGGAACCATATGTGTGTGTGTGTGTGCAGCTACATGCATATATATATATACACATATATATATATATACATGTGTATATATATATACATATCTATTTCTTTATGTAGTTCCATGGATGTATCTATAATATCTTCGCAGCCCTTACGCCTGGAACGCCGAGTGCCAGTACTGGAAAGGTGGCCTACCCGACGTCGTCTCCCCTTCCTTCGGCAGCTCCAGCTCGAACGTCGCAGCTTCTCAGTCGAAGTGCAGTATATGGTATAGAAAGCACACGCTTCGAAAGCTCCAGCTCGCACATAGCAGCATTTCAGCGCAAGTGTAGCACACGAAGCGCACAAGGAGGCAAGAGCTACTAAAGGCTAATCGGAATCAAGGCAAGAGAAATACGCGCCCCTTACACGCGCCTTTCCTGTGCCTTGCGCTGCAGAAACTTGCTGGCTTCTGTGATCTACTAGGTTTACAGCGCGTAGATGGCCGTGGGGTCTTCAAGCTGCGCAGCAAAGACACGCACCTGCCGGGCTTTCAGCTGAGTCCCGTGCGAGTCTTGACCGGCAAGCTACTTCATTAATTTCAACACAACGGTCCAGTCACTTACTCTCGCACAACTGCATAAGCCATTTAAGCAATCCAGCGCCATAGCACCCCGCTGCGTCGCCGCATGCACTGAGAGACCATCATTTTGATGTCTGGGTTTGAGTGCTCAACTTACCTTTGCCTACCTTGCGTGGGAATGTCTTGGGAACGATATCCTTTCAACATCTCCACAAGCAGTCGAACCTCCACAGAATAATGCATAGCCCAAGAAAAGGGATGCCGGTTAGATCTGTCCGGAGAGCTCAAGTCGATCGTGTCTTGAGACTGGGTCACATCAAATCGACGGGGAGGAGTTCGAAGGTCACATGTTTGTCACCCACGCATGCTTGGGTGCATTCTGACACACTGTCTCGATGAGCTCATGTAATCAAAGTATATGAGCATGAACAAATGATGAATGAACAGCAATGCTTACGCATCAGGTTCCGTCAAGATTCGCTTTCGCCGTGCGCCTCTGGAGCTTTTGCTGACGGATCAAGTCGAAATGACATAAACTTGTTAAACCTGTACAGCAAGGTTTTAGACGTTGCTCACATGTAGGTAGGGATTGTTTACATGATAGGGAAGTTTATGCTATGTTTGCAACTTAGAGGCGAACATGAAACAAGGAACTTGCAATCCTTACTGCTTCTCGAACAGCTGGTTGGTAAGGTGTTGCCTAAACTTGTCCTGCCCAGTGAGAAGATGGTGGTGGAAAGTGGTCCGCTTTCTGCGAATCCGTAGCGGGACTCCCATCCCAGTGGCAACTTCATCACTTTAAAGGCATATGTCTGTTCTCAAAATCCCGACGAGCCCACGTTTGCTGCCCGAAATCTCTGGACGCATTGAAGTACTGCATGTTCTTCACTTCGTGAGTGGGTTGGGTTGGACAAACGTGTCTGAGTAGTCTGTTTCCCAGCAACCGAAAATCCTGCAAAGCTTGAAGGTGTCCCGAAAACTGTTGGACTCCCACGTTGACCGTGCTGAAAGAGAAGGCGAACCACGCCAAGCTGACGGGGTAGGGTCCCAAGCAAAGTCCGCCAAACAAGCAATACAAGCTCCCTTGTTCCAAATCAGATTGAATCTTGCGGCTTCGTTGAACCTTGCGCTTTACGGTGGATCTTTTTTCAGACTGCCAAAAACCTCGTCCTGATCAGAGGAAAAGCCTACAAGCATGGGTATGTGTGCGTGTATCTGTATATGCACAAGTATGTGGCTACATTACATATATATATATATGTATAATACATAACTTGGCTAAGCAGGCACCCCGAACCGACCTCCAGCCCCATGTCAAAACCTGGCACCCAACGTCGGGATGTCGGGCTTTTGGTCAATGGCAGGGGGGTGCCCCCGAAAGCAGACTCAAGCGTTGCTGAAGGCACTGTAGAGGCGACAAAAAAAAACCAACATGTAACACGCAGTTTTTTTTGAAAGACTTGCTGGCCTGCAAAGAACGACAAATGGTCTCACGGGTCACTCCTGCGCACGGGCAAAACTCCTTGCTCACGGTCGTCTCGAGAACTCCTTACAACCGCAGCTACTTTTGACATGGAGCCAATTGGACATTCCCGGATTAAGCTTCGAGCCCTTGGGCAAACCGGTTTCAGTGTAGCTTTGTACAGGTTGCCATTTCCCAGATGTGCACCCACAAGGTTTATGTATATAGCATAAAAGACGCATGTGTATACAAATATGTGTGCTCTTATTTATGATACATTTCTAGGTATATATATATACATATATTCCTAACACAATATACATATAGACATATATATATATATATATACGCACATACTTATCTCATTCATACATATATATATATATATATATAATTATATATATATATATACATATATCGTCTACAGCGCCCATTTTTCTCTCCCCGCTTCTCCCAGGGGGCATCTTGTAGATGGCCGCGTGCTGCAGGGAGGTGGCCACCAGGTCCGAGGAGCCCGGCAGCAGCGCCTTCCACAGACCTCGTCCGCCGAACCGAACGTCGCTCGGGCGGTCGCGCATGGGGCGGTTTGTGGTGAGTAAGACGTCCGGGGGGGAGGGGTGCCAAACAAAGAATCACACACTAGGTGCTCCAGCAGAGAAGTTAAAATAAGGGTACCTGATATTTTTCTGTCTATTTTAGTAGGGGAACCCTCCACCAAAAAAGTCGGTAAAAGGGCACTACTGGGGGACCTAGAATAGGCTCCAAACACATAGGCTCCAAAGAGGGGCGCCAAAACTTAGGCACCCAACGGTTTCTCGGGCTTTGTCCCAAATTCGAATGGCTGTGGGTGAAAACCCCGGGGAAACAAAGAGGTGCCCCCCAAAAAATGGGTCAAGAATAGGGTACTCCCAACAAAAATGAGTGAAAACACCGAACAAAATAGGTACCCAAAAGAAATGGTGAAGAATGGGTGCCCAAAAAAGATGGGGGCCCAAAATAAGCTCAGGTGATATCCCCAACAGCATGCGGTGTTTCACCACACCGCAGCCCTCGCAGAACCTCGTGGAACCTGGTGGAACCCTGGTGGAACCCTTTTGTTGGAACCTTACCTTAGGGCCGGCCAAATGGGGATGTGTCATTTCGGGAGTCGGACCGATGGTCTGTCTATCTTTCTTTGATTCGTCAAGCCAACCCCAGTGGCTTCCTCGAAGCACACACCAAATAGCGCTCCCCTAGAATGGTTGGTGTCTTTTTGGTTCCCCTTTGGTGCCCATGTGGCTGTGGGTCAAGCATAGGTACCCAAAATGGAACCCTGGCAAATGGAAACATGGACTAAAATCTGCGGTCCCTTGGTGGTTTAATTTTGACCCATGCCCAGGTGGTTTTTCTGTACCACCCCAAAGGGAAGCCTTGAAGCACACACCTTATGAAAATACATCACTTGGAACCATCCCCTCTGCTGGGATGGACTCAGGGTACCGGGACTTTTGGGATACACACCCAACCTCCACTTACTCTCCACTGCTCCCAACCCTGCTCCCAAGCTAGCTCCAACATCAATTCCTCCCCGCCATCCCAGAGCTACCATGAACATTCAATTATTCTGCCGGGACCCAGTTGAGTATTCGCACGAAGCCGCAACCCTGGGTTCTCCACAGCAATCCAAGGACAAACCTGAGTATCCGGCGCGCGCTATGCCCCAAAGCTACGCTGAACATCAGCAACATCAAGAGCAACTGGAACAGCAACAGTCGCAGAGGCCCGCGCAGTGCTGGCGGCAGCAGTAGCAACAGCAGAAGCAGCAGCAAACACAACATCCCGGATAGATGCAGGCAAATCCAGTCAGTCCAATGAAAAACTGCCCTCGGTTCCCAGCATCGGTTCACGGTGTGGCTTCGCGGGGCGATGTTGCATCCCACTTTGCCAAATTTCGCCCATCGGGCATGGCGAATTGCGGCGCCTTTGTTGCACACTTGGCTGTGGACCGTTGCCGCGGCCCACGTCAAAGGAGAATTGTGCGGCCAGAAGGCATTGTTGAACTAACTGGTTGTTGACCCATGGCGTGTCCTAATTTAAGGACCTCCAGAATGGGTGGCGTCCCTTTGGTTGGCCCCGAAAGCAACCCCCAAAAAACTTTTCCCCGAATGCCTCGACCCTCTCCCTCTCTCGCCTGGCGTTCTCCAGCTGTGCCCGCCCATTCTCAGAGCGAAGAGGGACAGCAGGGCACCGGCCGAGTGGGAGAGAGCGACCTGAGCTTTCAAACCATGCGGTCCCTGTGTCTGGCCCCATTATTCTACCAGGCCCAAGTGGTAGGTTAAAACGAAGTCACTCCAATGTCTGACTTTGATACCCCAAAGAAACGGTCGAAATGATGGCCCAAGTGCGTTGCACCAGAGACAACTCCGCCTTCCATCCCTGGCTTTTGTGGGAAATGTCGTGAGTCGCCCCATGTCCCGAACCCGTAGACGAACCTGGGAATGGAATCGCATGTGCCATGCCATCCATTTGGGAGACATCAAATGTCCAACCGGCCAAGAGGGCCCTTCATTTCCGCTCCCATTGCACTGAAACAGGTCTCGCGATTTGCTTTCCCGACCATCGCCTCACTTTGGTCTTGGCCTTGGCCGCCTTTAAGCCGAGAAAAGGGGCCCTTGTACACAGCGCAAAACGCAGCCAGCGCCGGCAACACGCGTGCGCGCGCCCGCGACCCACGGTTTACGACCCGCGCATACCCGCGCCCCGGAACCCCCCGCGCGTGGAGCGGCCAGGGTCAGCGGGAAGTTGAAGAGATCCGCTTCGAAAGTGTGGGAGGAGAGGAACTCCTGGCTCGAGCGCGCCGGTTCTGTGGGAGACCATTCACAAACCAGCCCCGTGCAACGCCACGGAATCTGGGTTTCTGTGCGGCCCGGTGAGACAAGGCGCGAAAGAAAAAAAAAAAAAAAAAAAAAAAAAAAAACAGGCGCCCGAAAACGCCCAAGGAGACTGGGAAACCTGGCAGTTCAAGCTGTGCTGACTGGACTTCATGTTTTTTTCCCAACGAACAGGCGAAATGGTGAAGCTTTGGCGGAAACACTGATGCTTTCCTCGTGGTTTCCCTTTGACCATCCCAAAGTCGGCAGCAAAGCTGCTCAGAAGCCACTTCAAGGACGGTCTGAGTTCTCAATCCTCTTCCAAAATGAAGGGCCCGGCTGTCTCCAAAAGGAATAGCCCAACCAACATATGTGGTTTCCTCTTCGTGTCCCTTCCCAAAACAAGCCCAACAAGAAGAGACCATCCGGGCTGATGCGCCACGGATCTGGATGCGAGAAGCAAACTCCGCGGTTGCGCAACCAGCGAACGTGGAGATCACGCATTTCTCAACGATGATTAATTTACGGGGCCTCAGTTGTTGCTATCGTGAACTTTCCTCTGATCCTTGCTTGGTTTGTTGTACCGTCCCCAACCCCACTCAAATCAGTATGACTCACTGAATTCACCTCACCCCGAATTGGTGGTAGGGCTAGGGCGTGTCTTCCCATTTGGTTCAAGATGAACCGGGAGTTCAACACCCACCAATCCCAATCACCAATTCAGGGTGACCTGACAAATCAAAACCTGAGATCCAAAGCCGAGAAAAGTCCGGCCAGCTTCGCTGTTGAGCTGCCAGCCGCATCCCCTCTCATAGGTGGTGAGTGGCATGACGCAAACAGGTCTGAGCGCTCTTTCCAGGGATCCTTCTTTCTAGAAAACCACCAAAAATCCTGGGGAAATGGCTGGTTTTTTGAAAAGAACGATGGCTGAAAAGAATGGGGAATCAACCCCTAGATTGGTGGTCAATGTTCAACTGTAATTTCCTCCTTGTTCCTTTAGTCAAGAGAGCAAACGTAAGAAGCTACCAGGCGTTGATCCAGGTTTGTTTCCTCCTACCAGCATCATCTCAAAAATGTGAACATGCTAAAAAAGGTTGGACCGGAGTTTGCACAGCTCCTGCATGATCGTGTACACAAGGTACACAATGTGGATCGCAATCCTGGGAAGCGCGCACACAAAATTCAAGGGGATCATCTGCTCAGCAAGACTGCCCCCCACCGGCGATTGATGTAAGCCGCGGTCAATATTCATGGTGTCCCCATGTGAATTTTGCGAACCCCCATTTGCGAACCGCAACTTGGTGTGACCCATGTGATCCCCTTTACAGTGGACGGTAAATATTCACGACCGCTCATGTCCTTCCAACCGTTGAATCTCAGGTTGCCAGCCATACCTGCGAGTGGCTGCAGGACCAGATAGGATACCTCCCGTCTTATCAGACTGCTGGCCAACTCGTGCCCACTTCCAATCCCCTGCCCATAAACCGGAGCCTTGGCCAAGCAGCGTGCACACAAAGAGGGGCGAGAAGCGGTAGAGCCTGAGGGAACCAATTCTCAGAGAGCCGATTCATGCAGAAAGGCTGCCTTGAACCTCAGCAGCTGTTCATTTGAGAATCTTGGGCGTCTTTCTGCATTCTTTGCAACCACTCTTTGCCTGTCCGCTCAGTGGGTCAGTGATGGCAAGGAGGTGAATACCACAATCGGCCTTTGAGCTCCTGGGGAACAAATCGGTTTCCACACAACGAATTCAGATCCACCACATCGCGCAAGGCTGGACGCGGATGGAAGCCCCAAAAAGAAAAGCAAAACGCACACTCCACCCACTCCAATGCTGGTTGGGTCACTTCCCCCTCCAAACCTTCTCGAGAATTTCAATAGTCCTACCAAACATGCTTGTTCTTGACCCACATGTACAAAACGTGTGCCTTCCCTCATATTCCTCCCGTTTTTGTGATGACAAAACGCAGGAAGGGTACCAAATACAAACGTCGAAAGTCCCCCTTTGCCCCCAGTCGATCCGAGCCGCTTCTCAGAGAACTGCCTGGGACGAAGAGGAAAGGCGAGAAAATGCTTGCTGGTGCGATAGGTGGGGAATGACCGAGTCCGGGTGTTGGAATAAACCGGAAGGGGATTCCCTTAAAGGAAACCATACGATGGATGGTCGTTGGGGTCATTCCAACTCATTCCCTGCTGAGAACCAGCAAGAATTGGGGCGGTCACAATTCAGGACCCTTTTTGGTATCCCCAGAATTCAAGCCGCAACAAGGCACCAGGGTCCAAAAAAGGACGCCATGTTGTTGACCCCCAAATCATCCCTGAAGGATCCCCTGACAAATGGCACCAAAGCAGCCCAACCATAATCTACAAATGGATCCTAGAAAACGAGCCCGACATTTCCGCATGTTCTGTTGGGGAAACCTTCGCAATCTGCTCACAGCTGAGTTTGGGCTCAACGCAAGCCCAACGCAAGCTGGAAATGGCCCACAGGCCCTGGAAAAGTTTGCCTCTGTCAACATTGCCACGCTTGTTTGAAAAAAAAAACGGCTGTCTTGGATACCAGGGTTTGTCGCCGACTCACACCGGAAAGCTGTTGGACGAGATCAAGCTGCTTTGCAGCTCGCGAAACAAGGGTCCTCAACGGTTAGCTCAGGATAAACATTTAAAATCCCGCGGCCGCAAGACGCACAGAACGGAGTGCGTGTACAACAATGGTTGCCAGCAAGTGAGTATCATTCCTGTAAAGTACGGTGCGAACGAGACAAGGGAACGCACCTTCTGGTGTGCTACTTGGACGGTCTGGAGGTAGAGCCTGCAACACCCTGCTCACCCCCCTTGTATCCGTGGTGACTTAGCGCAGGCTTTCTCACAATGAATCATAAATCATCACGGAAGCCAAACAAATGCGCGCAGGTGATACCAGCAAGGGACGCAAAGCCGCCACAGCGCCCTTGACGCATTGACGTTGGTTCTACCAAGATGGTTCTAAAGGTTTACAGCCTTGCTGTCCCCAAGATCAGGTAGTAGAACCACTGGCTCCAGTTGCCCAGCCGGGGATTGGCCTGTCAAACATGTCAGTGTTTGTAGGACTTTACATGTAGGTAGCGGCCGCGGAGGACTGTCCAGGGGTCGGAGCATGAATCCTTGGCAGTTCTCACAGAAAAAAACGCCAGGCACCATGCCGTTGAAATTTGGCACATGCACCCCAACTCAGAGGCGACCAGCGCTATTAGTGCGGTTGCTATTGGAGGTGCTATCCGTTGCATTCTGAGTGGTACCAGTCATACTTTATTGTTCCTATTGTTATTGTCATTGTTAGTGTAGGGCAGCTTCTAACATTTGCAGCTAAAAAACGTAATGATTGCCACTTTTGGATCATATTGCTGCCATTCTTGGACATCATGCCTGTATCAGAGTCATAATCAGAAAGGGATTGCCAGGTACTTCAGTCAAGTCATGATCACAGCAACATGTAACACCTGTGACGTTGCATCTCCAGATCCAAGCGGAGCTACGCATAATCGGTTGCCCCCTCCGCGTCTGGCTTCCCTTATTTGAGAAATTGGGAAGCAGACCCCAACAAGATCAGAACCCCCCCTGATTGGACTTGGGGTGTCAAAAGGAAACACTTTGTTGGGGGACCCCTGTTCTTGCCCCCCTTTTGACACCGGGCTTTCGACATTCGACATTTGACAGATTGGACTGTTGCGTTGGGAGGCAACTTTGGATCTCAGACCTCCGTAGCGAAATGGCTACGGAAACCTGCGAAGGGCTTGGGAGACCTCCCCTTCCGATTTCCAATTGGCTCCGGGCCACAGCAAGGGAATGTGCTGGAAGACCTGGCTGGAACCAAAGCCGCGCCTTTTTTTGTGTCTCTAAAGGGAACCCTCTGGAAGATGTGACTCAAAAGGATTGTTGCTTAAATCTGCACATGGACAAGCGCGAATCAAACCAAGTTAATTCATTTTCTTTGACCGTGAGAAAAAGGAAAGTCTCACACCTTGCCAACTTCCTTGGGCAAGGCCTTGCCAACCGGAAGCCCAGCACCTTTGCTGGTCAAAGTTGGCAAAGTCTCGGCTTTCCGATGATCTTCTTTGTTTTCTTTGGGGTGAAACGGGATTCGGTACCCTAAATGGCTAGCTTCGTGAGCTTTCTCATATCGAAATATCCACACGGAGCGGTTTCAAGAGCCACAAAGTTTGGATCTGAGTGCTGCACGTGACTAACCCCTCCTGGGTCCTCCGAAAAAGAAAAAAAGAAGGGATTTTCCGAGTGCTGTCTCGTCTTCCAGGAGTAGGGGCTAAATAATTGATTGCTCCAATACACCCTTGCAAATTCATATAGAACCCTGCACAAATGATGATTTTGGGATCTGCAGGGAAGTATGACCTCATAATCATGGCTTCAAATGGCGTTGAAGCACCGCCCCCAATCCCATTTTAGTTGTTTGGGCTTCTGTAGCATGGGTTTTATTTGCTTGTTTTTAGTTAAACCAACAAAGTGGATGCCAGCAAAGCCTGCTCTTTGTTTTTGGATGAATCCAAGGCTTCGGATATTCAGCTGTGTACCCTGTCAATTCCTGAGAGTGCAAAAGCTTGGCTTGCCAAGCGAAACACATGCCAGCAAATTAACATGGTTCAATCAAGCACCAAGGGACTCATTATCAATGGCATCATCAGCATCATGATTGTCGCTATCGCCGCCGTCGTCGTCATGCTCCTGCTCCTCCTCCTCCTCCTCCTCCTCCTCATCATCATCATCATCATCAGCAGCCCCATTATCTGCATCATCAGCATCATCCACATCATCAGCTTCATCATCCTCATCATCATCAGCATCATCAGCATCATCAGCCTCATCAGCCTCCTCCTCCTCCTCCTCCTCATCCAGCATCATCAGCCTCATCAGCCTCATCCTCCTCCTCCTCCTCCCCTCATCGTCATCATCATCATCATCATCATCATCATCGTCATCAGCGTCATCAGCCTCATCAGCCTCCTCCTCCACACCTCCTCCTCCTCATCCAGCATCCTCATCCAGCATCATCAGCCTCATCAGCCTCCTCCTCCTCCTCCTCCTCCTCCTCCTCCTCCTCCTCCTCATCCAGCATCATCAGCCTCATCCTCCTCCTCCTCCTCCTCCTCATCACCATCATCATCAGCGTCATCAGCCTCATCAGCCTCCTCCTCCACACCTCCTCCTCCTCATCCAGCATCATCAGCCTCATCAGCCTCCTCCTCCTCCTCCTCCTCCTCATCCAGCATCATCAGCCTCATCAGCCTCATCCTCCACATATCCTCCTCCTCATCCAGCATCATCAGCCTCATCAGCCTCATCAGCCTCCTCCTCCTCCTCCTCCTCCTCCTCATCCAGCATCCTCGTCCAGCATCATCAGCCTCATCAGCCTCATCAGCCTCCTCCTCCTCCTCCTCCTCCTCATCCAGCATCATCAGCCTCATCCTCATCCTCCTCCTCCTCATCATCATCATCATCATCATCATCGTCATCAGCGTCATCAGCCTCATCAGCCTCCTCCTCCACACCTCCTCCTCCTCATCCAGCATCATCAGCCTCATCAGCCTCCTCCTCCTCCTCCTCCTCCTCCTCCTCCTCGCCCTCATCCAGCATCATCAGCCTCATCAGCCTCATCCTCCTCTTCCTCCTCCTCCTCCTCCTCATCATCATCATCTTCATCGTCATCATCGTCATCATCACCAGCATCACCAGCATCACCAGCATCAATATAGATATGTTCAGGGCAGTCACACTTTGCGGGCCCCGAACTCAGCAGACCGCCCGGGCTCGCCTCGGGCTGCACCGAGGTGAGCTCTCGGTGGTCTTTGGCCAGGGGCCGCAGCGCTCGCACCGAAAGGGTGCCGAAGATGATGAACATGGCGACGAAGGACAAGCCTCAAGCGAGTCATAATCAAAACCCAGGTAGTAAAATGGTGGATCCCCAGAATCATGTAAAGAATTAAGAAGGCCGCAACTATTTCTGGCTGGGGCTGCCCCTTACTGACCTTCATCTACCCGGGTTTTGATTGTGGCTTAAGCAAGGCTTCGAGTTTGGGAGGAATCGGAGTTGGGAGGTTCTAATTTAGGCTTTTGTGGTGAAGGACATCGGGAAACAAGCCCACCCCTCTGGCCAAGTTTCCTTGAGACTCCTGGGTACATGGCCACGACATGCGGGAATTCCGATTCCCTGATCCAAAAGAGAGATATAGCGGATACAAATTCGTCGCTTTCGGTGATACTTGGTGATTCCCACCCACCTTACACAAAGGATTCCCTCGGTCTCACAAAAACGCGAACAACGCTTTCCCTGCAACCATGGAGAGAAATCAGTTTCAAAGCTCAAAGGTGGCCTTGCTTCAATCTCCGTTCCCTGCGCTTCCCTGCTAAAGTCTGCTTCGCAACCATACCCGTTGCTTGTACACAAGCTCGGCTTGCGGCAAAACCAAGCCGGGGTGTTCAGTCACTCCGCTTGGAAAGCAAAGGGACTCTAGTCTTCGCCCGACTCTCGGGTGCAAATAGGATCGGAGTCTGATCATTTTTCGTCCTTAAAACATAAGAGCAAAGACCCCCCAATGTAACCAGGGCAAAAACCGAACTCTCTAGTGCCTAGTGCCTGTCTCAAGTCGCGCATGCCGATGGTAGGAGCCCGAGCCCGTGTTGATAGGTGCAAAAACTGAGCGCATGAGGCCGAAGACATGTGTCTGCCGAAGAAGGAGCCAGCTGGACGGTGGAATGGCAAAGAGAAATGGAACCAACGTAAAGAGTGCAATCGAACAAAGGCTGCCTAGATCTGAATCCTCGCAAGCTTATCGAATGGATTCCTTGACATTGATGTGGGTTTGAAGGCCTCCTGGCACTGAGCGTTTCTGGTGACAGAACCAGCCATTGGGCAAATGCGGTTTGGATAATCAAACCCGGTTGCGTTTACAAGAACAATCAAAAACCACGATTCTTAAGCAAGGATTGAATTCGTCTCAGAATCGAAGGGAGCCTCCAAGAACGGTTGCCTGGGATTCCCCTCAACACAAACACATCCAGCTTCAAACCAAGCTCGTATGACTCACCAAACATGTGGTGTCGTCTCATGAGAAGCGGGGTGTCTGAGTGTGCATTTTGAGACATAGCTACGCAGTGTGGATTTCTCGAGCATTCAATGCAAACAAGAAAAAGCTTGTCCATCAAACCATCCAAGAGGGTGTTCCCAAATATGTTTCATAGAAAGCAGGAAAGCAACCAGCCTGGCAACTGGAGTTGAAGTCTTTTGAAGACTGGGAAGCCCACAGTCTTGAGTCTTGCGTGGGAAATCCCCTTTTCAGATTCACGCACCCCCATTCACCAGAAGTCAACAACAAGCTGGGTGTGTCGGTTTTTTTTGATGGGCTTAAGCCCCCTCTTCGGTTGGCTTCAAAGGCAACCAAAGGAACATACATTAATATTATTCTTCCCCGGCTAGTGTTTACACTAAGGGGTTCTAACGGTAAGATTTGAGGCTGGGTTATATCAAGGGTTCGCGCTTAAAGCGCTGGCCCTGTGCGTACAAAGTTGTCTTCGATGCAACAGTCTCGCGCGAAATTGGGTTTGCGCTGGTGCGTGCCCTCGCTGTGGTGCCGTGCTCATTTTTCGGCTTTTGCTGGCAGGGCGGAGGTTCGCGCTATGTTTTTTTTTCTCGAAGCCTCACGCGAACCGCACTTTTTTGGCGCACGGAGGTTTTCGCGATCGACACGGAGTGTGTTTTTGGAGGAAGCCTCGCGCCAAACATGTTTTTTTGAGATCAAAGTGTGTTTTTGATGGCAGGGCCGCTACTCTGTGGATGTCTTTTGTCGGGTCAGGCTACGACGCTTGGACAATCGGACCTCTCAAACCATCCTGGAGCCCCAATTGACACGGAAAAAAGTGCTCAATTGCATTTTCGGAGTTCGAGCGCTTTTTTCTGCCCGGTTGGAAACAAACAGTTTTGATTACGGCTTGTGCCCCGCGCTTCGAGCGCAATTCGGCGCAGCCTCGGGCGCAATTTCGCGCAACTCGGGCGCAAATCCGCGCAACCGAGCGCAATTTCAACAACTGCCCAAATTCTGGCCACTACACTAGAGCCAAGTCGCTGGCTCCCCGAAACGTTTCGGGCACTTGTTTTCCCCAAAAACATTCGAGCACAAATTTCTGTATCAATTAACGGCTGGATTCCATGGCCAGCGCAGCATTCTGTGACACTGGCATGCGTTTTTTCGTGACGCTCGCAATATGTTGTGCGCTGATGCTATGGGTTGCGTGGCAAGCGCAGCATGTTCAGCAGCAGGGTCACCTGTCGTCAAGTTAGACCCAATACTTTTTGGGTCTCTTGCCTGGATTTGGGGGCCCCCGGGTCCCAATAAAAAACGACACACCCACCTGTTACGTTGACCGGTTCCCGCGTCTGGTTGGGCTGGGCGCCCGAGATGTGGTGGGTGAAGAGAATGGCAGACACGATGACCGACAGCACCTGCCGAGTGGAGGCGATGAGCGTGTAGACCACCGGCCCGAAATGCCTCGGGCCAGGGCATTTCGTCAGCTTCCCTCGTGGTTTGTGGTGGCTTGGAGGTGGTCCGGGGTGGTTTCCCATGTGTGGGTTCAAATCCCCAAACCACCAATCCAAACCACCAATTCGGGGTTACCTGATTTCCCAACATGAGGGGCGATTGACATACGCGTCATTCAAAACAAAATCATGGGCTGCCTTTGCGAAGCACTCGGTATCCTATAGGTCATGGGCTACAGATAGTTGGTTTTTTTGGGGGAAGTTTAGAGCGCACAGTGGCCCATGAAGTGCTAGTTTGGGCATGGCACGGGGACTGGCTCACTATTTTCTTTGTGTCTCCTTGGCGGGGAAACTTGCACACCCGAAACCTTGATCATTTCTTCGGGTGAACTCGACCATGGCCGCGACATGCTGGCTTCCACTTCCGCCAAGCCACTTCCACCTGAAAAGAGCTAGTGTTCAGCCACAAAAGGATAGAACCCCGTGTTTTTTCCTTAAAAACGGTGGAGGGGCGGATACCATCGATGCCTGGGTGCTTGATGGTGAAGGAAATCATGTACTGCGTCACTGTCGAGGCCAGCGAGAGCACAAGCATGTGCAGGATCGCCTGCAAAGATTCCCGTCGAGCCAGGATCTGTACACTACTTGATTACCAAGTTGCAGACTCAAAAGGGAAGCCCGTTTTTAAAAGCAATCCACCAACGGCGTCCTGCAGACCTTGAGGAAAAACTCTAAAATGGTGTCCGTGTCAATCTGCAGTAAGTCATAGACACCCCCTTGTAGTTGGCCCAACTTGCTTTTGTCATATGTTTGGAACTGCGACTGGCGTCATCGGGGAGGCTGGGCGTCAACACCTTGAACATGATTCTGGAGATCATGGTTGCATCACCACACTGAAACGACGCCGCTGCATTGTGAGAGTTTGATGTGCGGAGCAAAGCACATCTCAATCATAGACGACGTCAGACCGGGAACATATACCAAAGCTGTGGTAATAATGTATGTATGAAGGTATGTTAGGTATGTTGACATGTATGTTGGCATGTATGTTGGCATGTATGGTGGCATGTATGGTGGCATGTATGTATGTATGTATGTCTGTCTGTCTGTCTGTCTGTCTGTCTGTCTGTCTGTCTGTCTGTCTGTCTGTCTGTCTGTCTGTCTGTCTGTCTGTCTGTCTGTCTGTCTGTCTGTCTGTCTGTCTGTCTGTCTGTCTGTCTGTCTGTCTGTCTGTCTGTCTGTCTGTCTGTCTGTCTGTCTGTCTGTCTGTCTGTCTGTCTGTCTGTCTGTCTGTCTGTCTGTCTGTCTGTCTGTCTGTCTGTCTGTCTGTCTGTCTGTCTGTCTGTCTGTCTGTCTGTCTGTCTGTCTGTCTGTCTGTCTGTCTGTCTGTCTGTCTGTCTGTCTGTCTGTCTGTCTGTCTGTCTGTCTGTCTGTCTGTCTGTCTGTCTGTCTGTCTGTCTGTCTGTCTGTCTGTCTGTCTGTCTGTCTGTCTGTCTGTCTGTCTGTCTGTCTGTCTGTCTGTCTGTCTGTCTGTCTGTCTGTCTGTCTGTCTGTCTGTCTGTCTGTCTGTCTGTCTGTCTGTCTGTCTGTCTGTCTGTCTGTCTGTCTGTCTGTCTCTGTCTGTCTCTGTCTGTCTGTCTGTCTGTCTGTCTGTCTGTCTGTCTGTCTGTCTGTCTGTCTGTCTGTCTGTCTGTCTGTCTGTCTGTCTGTCTGTCTGTCTGTCTGTCTGTCTGTCTGTCTGTCTGTCTGTCTGTCTGTCTGTCTGTCTGTCTGTCTGTCTGTCTGTCTGTCTGTCTGTCTGTCTGTCTGTCTGTCTGTCTGTCTGTCTGTCTGTCTGTCTGTCTGTCTGTCTGTCTGTCTGTCTGTCTGTCTGTCTGTCTGTCTGTCTGTCTGTCTGTCTGTCTGTCTGTCTGTATGTACTTACGTACGTACGTACGTATGTATGTATGCATGTATGTGTGTGTATGTTTGTATGTATGTATGTAATTGTATGTATGTATGTATGTATGTAGGTAGGTAGGTAGGTAGGTAGGTAGGTAGGTAGGTAGGTAGGATGTGTGTATGTATTCATGTATGTATGGATGCACGCATGCATGTATGTATCCATGTACGTATGTTATGTAACGTAATGTAAGGTAACGAAACCTAACGGAACCTAATGTAATGTAACGCAACGTCGTATTGTAATGTACTGTGTGTGTGTGTATGCATGCGTGCATGCATGTATGTATGCATGCACGTATGTATGTGTGCATGCATGCATGTATGCGTCTATGTATCTATCTATGCAACAGGTTCATAAAACTGGATCACCAGGACACCACTGGAAGCTGGGACAAAGCAACCACGGCTCGGTGCCCCGTGGCACCCAGCGGTTTCTGGGGCCCTCGAACCCCAGAAGCTTTCTTCAGAGCCTCCGGACACTCAAAGACGAAGCCAATGCTCTGGAACCTCCGCCGCATGCGAGCCAATGTCCATGGGAAAGAAGGCACTTGCTGTTGGTTGGTTGAATTTGAACGCACAGGTGCTTCATTTGGGGTAGCCCTTTTTGCTTTTGCGGGCACCTTTTTGACCTCGGGCGCGCAAACACAACGGTTTTGTTTCGGCTGACACGGGGAGCCCTTTCTTGACGAGAAGCCTGCCACACGAACTCGACGCAGGCCGATCGGGTCTTGTGGGGGTTTTTTGGGGTCGCCTGACATGGGGATGTGTCAAAACAGCGCTCGCTCGCACCCACATGGGCCACACAAATGCCTCAAACATCATCCAAAAGAGGGCCGTTTCTTCCGCCCGTGCGGTCCCATAATTAAGGCAGAGCCATCCGGTGGCTGTTGAGCCATGAGTGGCCCATGGGAACTTTGGTTCTCCAGGATCCTCGGGGCGGACCCCTTCAAAATGGATGGTGTTCTTTTTAGGGCCTAGTTTGAGAAGCCATTTGAATCAGAAAGAGTAACAGGCTATTGAAAAGGGATCCCCCTCCCAATCTGAGATTGAACAAACGGGGAGGGGGGAATGTCATGTACGGCAACCCATGCTGCCCTTCGAAGAGGGGAGTGGAAGTGGGCACCGAATGGGAAACCACTGCGACAAATCTCTCGCATGCCAGGACGCAGCTGTCCAGTGATCGTCATCCTCGGGAGGCGGAGCCAGCCGCGAAACGTTCCCCCGCCAGACCTCTGGGTTTGGATTGGATTGGTCCCACCAGGGGTGGAAGAATCCCGAATCCAAACCAGCCAAAACCACCAAAAGGGTGACCTGGAACTTGTTCTTCCAATCATGAGCCTTTTGAACTCACGGAAATACAGGTTGGTAAGAAGCAGGCGGAAGGCAAGATGGGCCGTACAATGCAAAGTCCTACGAAGAAAACGGGGGATCAAACAACTTTCGCCGACAGCACCCCAAGGTGGATACGGAAACCAAAGAGTCAAGAGCTGCCCTGTTGGATGGTCCCTGAAATCTTCCCCAAGACTTCGGTCTGAGATTCCAGAGCCCCAGATTCCACCCTGCAAAAACTGAGGTCACTGGGCCTTTGGCGGACGGAGAAAGCCCAGGCGGATGGTCGGAACGTCTGTGAGACTCGGTCCGAGGGGCTCGATCACCATCAAGCCACAGGCAAAGCAGGCCATAGACAAGGTCGCCTGCACTACGTCGATGTCCTGGAGGCGATCTCGAGTTGATTCCCCCAGGAGGTTCGGGGGGGTTCTGCTCTCCATGCATTGCTTGTTTATCTTTGTTTGTGTTTTTTTGAGGTTAACCTTTTCCACCAGGTCTCCAAGGAAACCAAAAGGAACACCACATCTTCGGCCCCTGTTTTGACTCATTGCAATACGCATAAAGAAGCGAAGGGCAGTCTAAAGGGGGCCTGAGAAAGGACAAGTGTCCAATGAAAAGTTGGATTATGACCCCCCGCCGTCACTTTTTGTCAGAACACCCCAACCCAGCTTAGATTGTTCCTGGCTTGAGCGGAGTCCTTGCCACAAACGAGCCCGAGAAAAGGAGAACTCGGTTCAGGGCAGAAATGAGTTGCCCTCGTTTTTATCATGGAGCCGCAGGAAAACAGCGGCTTTGAAAAATCGGTCCGGGTGCTTCTTGAAGAGGATATCCTGCAAGTGTGGCGTCAAAGAGTCGCACAAGATGTAGATGCCCAGCAGAATGACCCCTGCAATTCGGCAGCTTTCTGCAACCGCCACTCGCAGCCTTGAGCCAACCCCCACCCACCTCTGGAAGACAAAAACAGACCGAAGCTTTCCAAAAGGAAACCTTCCATGTCTTAAAATCTGGGCGCTATGATTATTGTTGGCATGTGCTTCTCAACGACTTGCTACTGTATTTCAAGCACCTGATCATTGTCTTGTGGATTACTCGCGGAGGCCCCTCTGAACATGTGGGGTGTTGGCCCCCACAAAACCTGGCTTCCCCAAGCCAAACCAACCCCGATGACATGAATTGGCCCCAAAGAAAAGTCTATGCATGCCTGGCAGAGACGTAGGGGGGCGTTGGCGGCGTTGAAGGAACATCAACAGTGCGGTTGTTTTGCACGCAGCTGCCCTGAATGGTCAATGGGTTGGCCCGGCTCCGAAGATCCTATTGGCCATTTCTTGCTACAAAGCTCCCCTGAAATGGGTGGGTTCATTTTGGATTCCCTTTACATACCAACTAAAATTATAAAGGCATCTTGTAGGAGAGCCTTGCTTGTTTGCTCATGGATGGAGAAAAAAACGGCGGGTTTGCGCAATCTGTCAAAAGGGGCGACACCCAAGCAAGCTGATTTGCATCAGCTACGCCCCTGCGGCACTCAGCCCTCCGCTCACCCCAGGGAACCTCCGTTGTAGCGAGCCCAAGTGGCGAGCCCTTGCAGCAAGAGACGCGCTGATATCCGGCCGCAGCAGCATCGGCTGAAGCCATGAACATTTCTACGCCATAAGCGCTGGCTCAAGAGCATCCGCTCAGCACTGCATGCCTGCCACATGATAAGCGCCTCTCAAGAGCACTAGCTCAGGCTCAGAATCGCGCACGCGCCTGCCAAATGATAAGCACCCCCGCTCAAAGAGCACCCGCCCAGCCCTGCACATACGCTTGCCAAATGACAAGCGCCTGCTCAAGAGCACCCGCAGCACACGTACACACACACACACACATGCCACATGGTACTGCTTGTTGTGTTTGCATTGGTTGGTCACCAATCTTTGCAAAGTGCTCGTGGTCGGGGACATTAACAAAGTAGGCCGGGAAGACGAAGTGGACGCCAAGCCCTAAGCCCCACCCAAGAAAAGCTATAAGATGTCTCCCATCCACAAGGTGCGAATTGAAACTCTCAAAAGCCAAGGACATTGAAAAGACATCCTTGCTCAATCGCCCAACGCTTCAAGCTTGACTGAGCTCTGCTCAGGAATGTGTCCAACAAAGGGACTCTGCACACCTGCTCTTTCAAATCAGCCCAGAAGAGCAGCTGGTTTTGACACACAGCCAAATGCGCTGCGCAGGACGATGGACATCTTAGTAAGTCCGCCTCCCATGTCCCTCCTCCAAGTGGGCCATAGACCACTATCTCAACCAGACCTCACATGTTCAATGATCATCCCAAATCCTTGCTGAGGCCCGAAGGCGGAGATCAGGTATCCCAACGAATTTAGTGGCAACCAGGAACCACATGTACTATGGTCAACGCTGCACACTCCCATCACATTAACCCGAATTAAGCAGGTTTTTGGACTGCACATGGGAAAAGGGATATCTTCCCTGTGGCTTTTGTGTGGTTGTGTGTCCCCATTAAACCACTGTACCCAGCAGCGGTTGGGGCGGGGGGAGGGGGGCTTCCGGAGTAGTACCAGGAGGCGGCGAACCACCTCACCGGGCCAACCGGGCATCCGCGAACCCGGCCTGTGTTGGTGGTGGCCATATCAGTATCCGCCTCACAAGCGGTGGGCCAACCCCAAAAGATATGACCTCGAAGGTTTGAGGCACCGACATCTTGCCAAAACCTGCCACCCGACAAAATGACACCCCACCCACTTAAACCCCAAACCCCAATTGGGAGTTCAAACAAAAATGGTGAGCCCCGTTTCGGTGGGTGCTTAAAGCGCAACCAAGTATTGTAGGGCACCGATTGCTACTTTAAGAAAGACCCGTTTCCCGCAACCATGGCGACTTAAAACCCAATTTCCCCCAACCCATTTGCTGCATCCCCCCTAGCCCTAGTGGCTGAACCCTAGATTCCCAGACCCCCAGACCCCCAGACCTACCAGCCTCCGACTCGTGCCCGAAGACAAAGCAGGAGAAGGTCAGCACCAGGCACTCCGCATAGTCCGTCAGCGAGTGCCAGTTCCCCCGCAAGGAGCTGATGATCACCTCACCGAAACGTCTGACGATCGGAAGGCCGAAGAATCCAGGGAAAAAATACCCCCACAGGGAACCCACTTGCGCCATCTCCAAAAATCCAAAGGTGCAAAAATGGAATGAATCTCTCCTGGAGGCTTGGATTTTCAAGGGTCGCCGGCGTTTTACCGGAAAATTCGCCGGAGGATTTGCTCCAACACAGGAATGACCTTTGTGACCTTTCAGCTGGGGAAAATCACCCGCGAAACGAATTCCTTCAGCCCTCCACCAGCACCCCGCAATCGCCCTGCCAGTCGCCGAAGTGCCAAACAACATTCGGAGTTTGTGTGGGGCACAGCGGGCCATGTTGGGCCGAAACGTGTTGCTGGATCCCCGGTTTTGGTTCTCCTGGGCACAATTCTGCCCCTTTGAAGGAGCGCCTCTTGCAAACGCAAACTCGTAGCTTCGCTTGATTGGCTGATCTTGGAACTCAGAACTTCCCCCACTGCGGCTTTCTTGGCTCGCATGGCACCGACAATACCATGCCCGTGTCAGATGTGGGACGCTTTCTACGCAGCGGCAAAATCCTATTGGGGGGGAGGGAATTTCAATGGACCCTTCGGTGGACATTTGGGGATTGTCCACCAACCACTTTTGATGTGGCTCCCTATCCCAATGACCTGAACAAGCCGATCCTTTCCCGGATCCTTTCCAGAAAACCACCCAAGCACTGGGTGTTTTCGGTGTCAGCATATTCGAAACCTGGCACAAGTCACAGGCGCGCCGAACCGAAGCGAAACCCAAACCTTGCGGCCTTGCGAGAGGTCAAAGGAAAATCCCACCCAGAACCCAGGAAAGCTCTGGGATGAGGCGTGAAAAACCCGGGCGCTCCATACTTCACCAAGGCGCCACTGGTAGGATCTTGGTGCTCTTCGCAGTGGTCTGAAGGCCAAAGGAGATGAAGGCCAGGCCTTGCCATTTTCGATCCGAGTCCCACTCCCGAAAAAAGAATTTTCTGATAGGTCAAATCAATGGGCTGTGATCAGCGTTGCCTGAACTTTGCGGGGAGGAAACCGTCTGGGAAAAAAAGTTCGGCCATGTCCTTGTCCACTGCTTGGCCATTGCCATGGTGTGCAGAGACTCCTTTCAGGGATTGGCGCCCTTGCAACTTGATGTTGCTTTTCGGAGACACCAAAGTTTAGAAGTCGGTCCACTCGTTTCACCCTCCACAATCTGCGACCTGGTCTCCGTTGCAAAACCCCAAACGGGGCTTGCCCGATGGGAAACCCCCATGGTTGGGCCAAGACATTCATGTGTTGGGTTCCATGTTCTGAGCATCTGGTGGGGTTGTTTAAACACAGTTACCACCCCCCCCTTCGGCGAAGACAAAGATCGGCTTCCTCTTCGTTTCCATTTGAAAAGCTTCCAACAGAAGCTTGACACAACCAGATTTCCGAGCTGTGGGCAAAACGAGGCAAACTGCTGGCCATGATGTGTCCTTGCTGAGCTTACCAATTTCAGAGTTACATCTCACCTACCTTAACTCTTGCCTAACCCAGAACGACCATGACGGAAGCTACGGTGTTGGTTCAACCCGAGCTAGCTACAGGGGTTGTTAGAGGAAAAGCACGTATTTATGCAAACTGTGTTGTTTCTGTGTGTGTATATATATATATATATTCATGTCAAACAGATCAACATATTGAGTAAGGTGCATCTCCTTCAAAACAAAGAACTGTTGCTGATAGGGACCTGCGCAAAGGAATTTGAGATCAACAAGTATGATGGGCGTGACACCTTTCACACAGCTATGCTTAATGAAAAGTCCGCACTTTTTCCATGCGACTGTGAGCTTACTGGAACACCGGAAGAAAATGATTTCAAACACATTGAAAACTAAACTCCTCGGGTTTCACGGGAAGCTATTTGGCCATGCATGTTTCTGCTGGCTTCTTAAAAGCGGTCGACTTGCTGGTACCCCGCCACCCCAAAGAAACAAACCGCAAATGAGCGAACAAACCACGAAAACACTGATCCAAATAAGGCTGACCATAGTCGCACATCAACCCAAACTGTAGGCGTCTGTTACGAAACCCTAAAAATTCTAGAATGTAAGGTTCGCCAGCCATAAAAGGGCCAATGCTTAAAGCTGTGTTTTCAAGCCCAAATAGGCAAGACACATGGAAATGAATTCTGTGTTCTCGGCTTCGCGATCCGATCAGTCCGATCGCTGACTTCAGCCTAGCTGCTGCCATACTGAGACCAGGATGCCACGGTGTTACTCACCTGAGCTAACACTTTTGCCGCGGAAGCTGCGCCGGTTCTGGACTTCTAGGCCCACCATTGGAGAGAGTTGGCGTCAAATTCCTATGTATCCATCCGCTTCTATTTACATGCATTTGTTAAATATTATCCTTTGGTTTGCAAGAATAATAACAACAAATATGATTGTATATGTGTGCTGTATTTGGCACGTGACTTCGCACTAAGCATGATTTCGTGCCGTTTCCATACCACCCAGGGGGCTGGAAAACCCCCTGGAACTTCTCGAAAGGACCTCCAGTTGAAGGTTTCCTTTGGCCTTCCATGCAAAAGCCACCCAAAAAGGCGACCCAAAAAGCAGGCTGTGGCCCTATTCTTGGAAACCCGCACAAGACTTGGCGAACTCCATCCCCTGCAAAAACAGGGGTAATTTATGCATGGAGTGCACGGAAAACTATTTAGAAAGTAGTTGTCTTCACTCTCAGAGTTTGGGAAGCGCCTTTTTTTGTTCGAAATGGAGTGGCGACTCCTAGGTACAAGGGGAGGCCCCGAACAGCAACTCCAGAGGCCCGAGTTTCAAGTTCCAACTTGCCTCGTCGCGGGGCAACTGGAGACCCTTCCAAAAGCTCCGCTTCATCAGAACACATGGCATGGGCTAACTACGGCGCGCAGCTGCGACAACCAGCACTACGTAGTCACAGAGACCAAAAAACAACACAATCCCACAGGAAGTGTTCGAGAGCCCGAGGTGGCAACTTGATTTGCCGAGCCAAATGTGTTGCGAAAGCGATCCCATTTAGAAGCAGATAAGAACAAAAAGGTGTGCTTGCGGGGTTTCTTCTGATTCTGGTGCCAGGGCCATCGCAGTGAGCTCTGGATCCGGATTCGCGCTGCGTCTGAAAAACATTGGCGTGTCTCAAGATAGGGGGCCCGTTTGTCCAAAAGGCCCAGCCTAGTCGAAAGGAAAAACAAGAGTAGACCAGCATTTTGAAGGGTCCGCAATCCTAGGAAAGACTCAGATGCGTGCCCAAAACCCACCCGCCCCTCCTCTCCCACCCCCACCCCAGGCCGTCTCAGGTATGTGTCTTCGCTTCTGTCTCGGGCAAGCCGCGTGCGTGCGTGAGTTTCCCTCTCTGCATGACAAAACCAAAGCAAGCCAGGGCGGGCCCAACTACCAGTGCAAACATGTTTAAAACCTCCGTCGTCTAAGCATCTTCGCGTTTGTCACCATGGGGGGATGTCATTTTGGTTTCCCTTTGCACCAACTTGAAAAGGGTACTAGCAAAAAGAGGCGCGCACACACACACACACACACACACACACACATTCAGCTTGTTAAGGGGTCCATGGTTACGGTTTCTTCAACGAAACATGCGGTACCGTTTCATGCCGTTTCTACTGCCGTCTCACGGAATCTCACATTGTCCACCCGCTTTGCCACAGGTTTTTGGGGGACGGCTGAAACTGGCGAGAGCACCTCTCAAAATGGCATGATACGGCATGAACGGTTGTGACCCAGAAAACAGGGATCCTTACAATATACGCCTGATCATTGCCTTGTAAATGGTGGTGTCCCTTTATTTTGGTGGAAAAAGCAATGTTTCAAATGGTTGCAACATGTATCTTTTAAGGAGCCCTGGAAAAGAAGCACTGTTTTGATCTTGCCCCTGCGCTGTGTTTTTTTACCTGTCGGGCTTCCTTGCGCCGCGTGGCCGCGGGGCCCAGACTGTCGATGCAGCCAGTGAAGAAGAGGGGCTTACCGCGCACCCAAAGCAGCATGGCGCTGAAGGCGGCCGCCGTGACACCTCACTGTGGGACTGGAAATGGAATCCACTGTGATACAACACAAAGGGCATCCCAAAGGGGCACTGGATCAACAAAAAAGAACAAGCTATTCCAGGTGGATCAGAAACAAACAAACTATTCCACAAGAAGGGGGAGATTCTCTTGTTTCACAAAGGGATAAGCCCTCGGTGCCCAAATGTTTTCTCGTCAAAGGGGTCCCCACAACTATGAAGGCAACTTAGCGGTGGCGGAGCTGGAGCTGGTGCTTGAAACATGCATCATGTGCCACAATCAAGTCTCATTCATGCGGATGGTCCCTCCTCTATAACTTGCAGTCCCTAAACTAGGATGTGTCCCCCAAGAAATGGTCGGCTTCCTTTCGCTCTCCCTTCAAACACCATGCGAACAAAGGCCATCTGGTCGTACCCCTCCAAAGTCATGTCTGATTCCCTGCAGTGCACCTCCCCACTTTACTTGACACCCCAGGTCAAAGCCGCATGACCATTCTGTGGCTGGCAGGGAGAAAGAGAAGGATTAAGAGAAGCATAAGGAGAGAAACACAAAGAGAAATAGAAGACAAGGAGAAAAAGAAGGAGACAGACGGAGACAGACGAAGAGACAGACAAATCGCAAGGAAAGAGAAAGAGAACTGGAGTAAGAACAGAGATCAAAGAAAGCCGCTAAATTAGAGCCCTGGCCGAGGCGGGCAGCGTGCAGCGTTTACAATTACACCAGATGCAAGCTAGAAATACACTAGACATGAGTGCATGTTCTTTCCAAAGCGCCAAAGCTCACACCAAATATAGCAAGATAGCTCGCTGGCTCGAAAGCTTGCTTGCTTGCTTGCCTGCCCTGCCTCCTTTCTCGCGCGTGCATGCATGCCTCTCTCTCTCTCTCCCTCTGTCTGTCTGTCTGTCTGTCTGCCTGCCTGCCTGGCAGGCTGGCTGCCTGTCTGTCTGCCTGGCTGCCCGCCTGCCTGCCTGCCTGCCTGTCTGTCTGTGTGTCTATTTTAGCTTGTTTGCTTGTTTGTTTGCTTGCTTGCTTGCTTGCTTGCTTGTTTGTTTACTTGTTTGTTTGGTTGTTTGTTGTGTAAGTGTTTCCTTGTTTTCTTGTTTCCTTGCTTCCTCTTTTCTTTGCTTCTTTATTTCTTTGTGCGCGCTGAAAAATGGGGCTATGGACCCCAAACAGTGGTGCCCCTTTAAGTTTCCCTTTGAGCCAGCCCCAAAAAGCGTGGCCTCAAAAACAGACAAACCCACTGGTCCAAGCAGTGGACGGTTGCACAAGACCAGGAAGAGCGGGCTGGGAATCTGCATGGGCTGACCCTTGCGCCCCGTGTACACATTCGTCATGATGAACTCCTGGCGAAACTGTGCAGAATGGGTGGGCGCGATCTTGAGCATCTCATGGCGATCTTGAGAGCCCCCTGATTTAATACAGGTGAATCAAAAGGAAGTGGCCTAAAAAAAGGAAATCCTGGCACTGAACAAAGATCTCAACTGATTAAACGTGGGTGGAATTCGGGGATCAAATGAGCGTGAGAAGACCCTGCAACAATCGAGACTTTTGCTGGGCAGCTAAAAGCCCTAGTTGCCTTTCTGGCAGGTGACCAAAACTCATGGGATCTCCCTTTACCTTGCAAATGGTCGTCCCTTGGTTGCCCCCGGAAACGCTTGGTTTCCCTCGGTTCCCTGAACATGTCTGTCAGCGTGCCTGTGTGATGCCCCAGAGGATCATGCTGGCGTTCAGGGCCTAAGCGGAAAAAGAAGCAAGCAAAAAACAGGAGCCACGAATAGGGGGCCCCCTCTGTTGGTTGTTCCTTTTGGTTTCCCTGTAAAACCCACTTGAAAGGGGCACCTTACTAAAAAATACATGCCCAGGTAAGGTTGTCTCAGTTTGTTGCCCCAACAAGTGGCTCCTTTGGGGTATCGAAACCCCAACCCAAATGCAGCCGGAAATTGTGCTGGAAAGGAATCCGACTGGACAGCAACCACGCCATTGGAGGCGAAATTGATCAAATCCGGGGCAAGCATGATGCATGCTCCAGATGGTCTGCCTCAGCCCCCCCACCCGAAAAAGATCAAAAACACAATATGTTCACTGGTTTGTTGATAGGGCCAATGGGGTTGTTAATGGCATTGTTTCTCCTCTATTGATGTTCTCTGACCGCCTGCACACACACACACACACAAAAAAAAAAAAAACACACACACACAAAATCACACACACAATCACACACACACACACAATCACACACACACACACAGACACACACACACACACAATCACACACACAATCACACACACAATCACACACACAATCACACACACACACAGACACACACACACACACACACACAATCACACACACACACACACACACACACACACACACAATCACACACACACACACACACACACACACACACACACACACACACACACACACACACACACTTACACACACACACAATCACACACACACACACACACACAATCACACACACACAATCACACACACACACACACAATCACACACACTCACACAATCACACACACACAATCACACACACAATCACACACACACACACAATCACACACACACAATCACACACACAATCACACACACACACACACACAATCACACACACACACACACACAATCACACACACACACAATCACACACACACACAATCACACACACACACACAATCACACACACAATCACACACACACAATCACACACACACACAATCACACACACACACACAATCACACACACAATCACACACGCAATCACACACACAATCACACACACACACACACACACACACACACACACACACACACACACACACACACACACACACACAATCACACATACACACAATCACACATACACACAATCACACACACAATCACACACACACAATCACACACATAATCACACACACAATCACACACACACACACACACACACACACACACAGAGCCCATAGCTGCTTTGACATGTTCTTGTGGAATCCATGACCGGGACCCAGACCAGGAAGCAAAAGCTCAACCTCCTCAAGGAGTTTGAGGAGTAGAACATCTCCATCTCCTCCGATTCGAATCGGACGAAGTTATGTGCAAGTAACGGCTTGTACCCTGGTTGGCAAACGACTTCACCTTCCAAGCCTCTCTATGGACAAAATCCATTGGTAGGGATGGATGACACCCTGGGACAAAACACCGACCCAAAACCTGCACAACTCGGCGGAGTTGCTGCGCATGGCTTCCCAAAACCCATCCCATCCGACCCCAGGCACTGGATGGGGACATGCTCAAAAAAAGCAGCAAGAGGGGGTTGTGCTTTGAGGGTTGGGGTAAAGGGAAACCCAAAGAAAAAAACATCAAATTGAGGGGAATCATCAGCTGTCATCTTTTGCCTCACAAAAAGAAGGTCCTTTCCCGCTTTGCGGCAAGAATGTGCCGCGCCGCCAACACATGTCATTGCGGCAGTGGGTGGAGTCGGATTTGTTCGATGGGAAATCAATGCTGGCTTTGAGTCAACAAAAGAGATTCCCCACAGAGCCCAAGTGCAACGATAGCCGTGATGGTGCGACGAAGCGGGTTCAACTTTCTTCATTTGCGGACCGCCTTTACTGGCGCTGCGAAAATGACATCGTCGGGTCCCAAAAAAGGCCCAGCGCTGCCTCTTTGTGACCACTTCCCCGAGTATAGCTGGGTGTGACCTGGGTGTGTGTGTGTGTGCGTTGTTGTGAGCTCCAATTTTGGGGCTCGCTGAAGTTCCCGGGCTCCTTGCGCTTTCTCCCGTCAACCTCCTGCACCTGACGCCAGAAAGTGAGTCTACAGGAGCACGCCAAAAAATGGAGGCCACAAAAAAGAAGCCCTCAGTTAAAGGACACACAAGTGAACAGCGGCTGAGTTTCCCTCCCACCAAAACCCCGTTTGACCAAAAATACTGCAAGCATGGAGTGAAACTTTGTGGTTGGTGTCCAATTGGCAGCTTGCACTCCTACTAAACTGCCAGCACAAGGAGAAGCGCATCAAGCCAATGCACAGTAAAGCTCAGAGGCGTATGTGTCAAAATAGGACAGTCCCAAAAAAGGTGGTTTCCGCTTGGTTTACTTTTAAACCAATCTATGCGTACCCTGACGCAAACAGACACACACACACACAAGCGCCCACGCGCACGCCAACGCACGCAGGAACGTACGAATGCACGCACGAACGCACGCAGCCCCCCCACCCCCCACCCACCCACCCACCCACCCACCCACGCACACACACACACACACAAAAGCAAACAAGCACACCGCACACCCACCCACGCACACACACACACACACACAAACACACAAATACACAAACACACCAACACACCAACACACAAACACACAAACACACAAACACACACCCACACACAAACACACAAAGACCCAGCTCACGATTTTCCCTCCAGCCTCTCTCGTTGGGTTCGTTTCCGGTGCTGGAGATATATCCGCGGTACCTCAAAAAGTGCGCCCTGGTTCCAGGGTTCACTAGTCCGCATTACCAAGGAGCTTAGGGCCCCCCCCTCAGTCCAACCACAACATGCGGGGACGGCCAACTGGCACGTACATGATTTGCACGCGTGTCTCAACAAATGTCGCTAAATAGGACACGGGAAACTTGGGGCAATCAGACCAAGATGTGGTCCTTGGGCTATCAATTGTCAGTGACTCAAATACACAAAAGGAGTGAGTTCAGCCTTCCAAAAATGTGAAGACGGAGCGAC